CTTTCCCCAACTGAATTAACCTTGGGTGTATGTACATTTCTAATATTGAGATCCAATTAGGACCTGCCTGTAGTTCTGTCATCGAATTTTGATCCATACATCTATTAGTGCCCGTCTGATGTAGTGCCTCCGGAAGTACTGGTAAACTTTATGCTTCTCATCCCATAACATGGCATGCCATCCCGTCTGCATGTCATGACCTTCCAGTTTTAATAATCTCCAATTTTCCAGTTGAATCCAATCGCACACCCACAGTAATTTTTAATGAACGCCAAATCTGAGTTGTTCTTGGGGATCAAAGTGATAGTTGCTTCTTCCCATGAGTTTGGAATCTTCACATTCTTTAGAACCTCGTTAAATAGGTCTATTAACACTGGACTTAGAGATTCTTGCATTATTTTGTATATTTCTGTTGGTAAACCATCCAGACCTGGGGCTTTATTATTTTTTTGTTTCTTGATTGCCTCGAATAGTTCCAAAGGTGTTATCTCTTTGTTTAATGTATTTTTAGTCTCCTCTGGAACTTTTGGTAGATCAGCTAATTGTAAATATTTTAATATGTCATCCTTGTTTTTCCGTTCTACATTGTCATATAAATTTTTATAAAACTCATAGGCCACCGTTTTCTTCCTTTCATTCTGGTAAACCATCTCTCCTTTTTCATTGTATAGTTTATTAATCCTCTTTTTATCATTATGTTTCTTTATCTTGTAAGCCAACCATCTACCTGGTTTATTGGCATTTTCAAATTTTGTTTGGTACATTTTATTTGTTGCTCCAGTTCTTCCTTTTCAATAATATTTATCTTATGTTTAATTAAATCTATTTGTTGCTTCAGGTCACGCCTTTGTGGTTCATTTTGTAGATTTTCCTCTACTCTACTAAGTTCTTCAAGATTTCTTTGTCACTATATTTTAGTTCTATTTCCCCTAGCCATATAAGCAATTTCGACACCTCTCATGTAGGCTTTGGCTGTGTCCCATAAGTTTTGAGAATTTGTGTCTTCCTTTTTATTCATCTGGAAGAATAGGCCCATTTGCTCTTCTAATTTTAATTTAAATTCTTTGTGGTTTAAAATTGCTCTTTTTAGAGTCTACCTTCTTGTTTTCTTTTGCTCTCTCCATTTGATTCTATTGGATTGTGGTCGGCCCACAAATTTGTATCAATTATAACATCTTTCACTTCCAAATTCAGATCTGTTGACAACCACGCTATATCTATCTTGGACCATGAGAGGTGTCGCCCCGAAAAATATGTATACTGCTTTTTCCCTGTATTCCTCGCCCTCCAAATATCCTGAATGTTGAACTCCTCCGCCATTTCTAAGAAAGTACTAGGTAGTGTTGGTCTAATTCCTTTTCTGGTCTTATGATTTTTATAATCCAATTGTCTATCCTTAATCGCATTGAAGTCTCCCACTATACAAAAGTTGTCATAATCAAATCCACTAATAATGCTATATAATTTTTTATAAAATTGTTTCTGGCCTTCATTAGGAGCATAGATTCCCACTAGAGCTATTTTTATTTTGTTCAAAATTACTTCTATTATTAAGATTCTGCCATCTTCATCATTATATGTATGTTTTGTTGGAATTTCCTCATTAATATATGCTACTACTCCTGCTTTTTTTGTTGTGAGAGTGCTGCAAACATTTTTCCCAGTTTGGAACAATTTAGTAGATGTTGGTGCTGTTTTTTATTTTTATTTTTTTTAACAATCTTTTTTATTATTATTTTTTTCCATCAACATATGCTAATTTTTCCAATCAACAAGTTGTCTGGAGTTTGCTAAGCTAATACATGTTCAATTCCTAATCCTTCATTCTTTTCTCTAACCAAGAATAAAATAAGTTCCAAATTTTATAGTAGTCCGTATCTTCTTTATCTTTTAGCCTTATAGTTAGTCTGTCCATCTCTGCACATTCCAATATTTTCGTGATTATTTCTTCCTCTGATGGCAATCCTTCATTCTTCCAGTATTGTGCAAAAATTATTCTTGCTGCTGTGGTAATATGTAGAATTAAATATAATTTCTGCTTATTAGTCTTTTCAGACATAATGCCTAGTAAAAAGAGTTCAGGTTTAAAATCCACTTGTTCGCCCAATATTTTTTCTAACCACGTATGTATGCTTTTCCAATAGGCCTTTGCCTTCCCTCATGTCCATTTGGTGCTGTTTTTTAATATGTACTTCTTGCAGGACTATTATGTCTAAATTCATCCTACCCAATTTATTTAGAAATTTTTTCCTCTTCAGTGGGGAGTTAAAACCATTAACGTTCAGGGATATAATCTCAATTCCTCCTTTTGCCTCTTTATCTATATTTAGATCTTGTTACTATTGTTGGTCTAGACTCTTTCTTGCTAGGTTCTTCATTGTTTGCTGTGCATCTATAAGTAAATCTGTTAATATTGGGAGGAGGGAAGGAAAGAATAGAGGCATATGTGCAGGAGATTGAGGAAGGGACGGAGGGAGGGAGGGAGGAAATGGAGGCAGGAAAGAAGGAAGGAAGGAAGGAAGGAAGGAAGGAAGGAAGGAAGGAAGGAAGGAAGGAAGGAAGGGCCTCAATGTTGTCATTACATTACATATTGGCACTCAAAAGGAGATAGCTGTACATTTTGTAAGCATGAGTAACTGAAAAACAAATGCTATATATTTTAATACATTTACAGAATTCTGTATTATGAAATAAATGCAATAGACATGGCTTAGGATTCAGTTTTCTTTTTTCATAAAATAACTTGCATTACTTTTTAGGTGGCCACATATAGAACTCACCCACACACCTGCTTTAAAGACATCTGGTTGCTATCTTGGTGCTTAACTATGTTATATCATTGTGTAGCATGTGCCCAATCTTCATTTGACTTCCATTTTTATGCACCTCTTGTATATGAGAATCTAGATTTAGATTAGGCCCATAAATTTATTTTAAAAACAAGCAAAATTATGCCTGACAGTTGGAGGAGGGGAAGGGAGCATTTTATTTTTTATTAAAGTATCTCGTTCTGGAGAAAATTATGTCTGCAGTGTATTTGCTCTGACCGGGTCTGATTTAGGTCCTGTTTGCTTAAGAGAACTGTTGAATATATAATTAGCATAAAGCATAGTTTGATCTTTATCAAATGTTTGTTTCTGTCTATGTTTGTAAGTGTAGTAGTGATGTAGTAACCATTGTAACAAGATCAGGATAAAAGGGATAAAATTAAGATAAGGGAAATATAATATTGGAAGATCATGTTAGATTTGGAAAGAGGAATAATTGGCAATATAGGAAAAATATAGTCAAAGCTAGGCAAAATTCCTGCAGTGATTGAATAAGGTTTCCATTTGCTCAAATAGTGGAGTTTTTTAAATGTGGTAAAGTGGTTTTTATACACATTTGCTGCATTCCAAAGCATATTTTTCTTTAGAATTAAAGAATGCATGTTGAAATGTCTTACAATATCTTTCTGTTTTCACTCTTGAGACTACTTTGAGAATATGTCATTTTGCTGCCAAACTTTAGAAAATTCTTCCAAGTTCTTACTCCTGTATCATAAGTACTCCTGTACTTTTAATTGTAGCAACTGTTATGTGCAGCAAAACAATTTTTCTCTGTTTCTTAATGCTTGTGTATGCAAAAAAATCTAAAAAAGCAATAATGTATAAATGTATATTGTGTTTGTTTGATTGAGTTTGATTTTTTTTTTCAATTTGTCTTCATGATATTTGGTGGTTAAGGCTTTCCTTAATAGTAGGAAAAGTTGAATAGAGAAAAGCCCAGCTCCATATTTTACAAAATAAAGTGTCAGATTTTGTTCTTTTCATTGTCTTAGCTCAATTTGGCATTTTTAGAAATAAAGTAACTACTGTATGTTCTACATTCTATATTATCAAAAACAGTGTAAATTGTTTAATATTTTATAGATGCTTGAAGCCTGAAGCACTTTTATCATATCATACAATGTGAGGCAAGAAAACTCTTCAAAAAAAGTTAAATTTTTATGCTGACTGGCTTCGTTTGTCATTTACCATAAGCATTTGAGTCCTTGATAGTCAATAAAACTATAAAAAACAATTCCTCAGGAATAAAACACTTTCTGACCAAGCCAGTAGAAATATGAGATTTCATTCTAAGGGAAAACCCAATATATACTTCAGTAACTCAAAAAGGAGGGAAAGGTAACTATAGTTACACTTCTTATGTACAGAGAAAGCAGCTACAGCTTTTCTTTTTAAAAAGGTATCTTTAGAAATTCTTATTGTTATACTGATTCATTTTATTCCACATTTATAATACATCCTGTATTAACCATCTAATTGGCTTTTTTGTACATTTTTTATATATGCAACAGTTTTAATGTAAGATAATGAGAACAACTATTTTTAATATAAATGTCTTCTTCTCACAATAAAATAGACTCCAGAAACTACACTACAATTAGGGCAAGTGTTAAACCAGGAATAAAGCACATGCTTTGCCTCTTGAAGATCCTAAATTTTAACTTCTTCCATCACCCATAGAATAGGGAAAGTTCCTGCTTGAAATCCTTAAAACCACCTGTTGATCAATGTAGATAATATTGAATGGACCAAAATTCTGAAATTGCTTGTATTCAGCAAGTGGAACATATAAGAAAAAGCCTGCAGCATATAAAGAATTAAAGTAGTCTGGTTTCTAATTACAATGTAATATATATTCAAAAATTATACAACTGGATTGATCCAGTTCAGATCTGAGAATATTGACTATCTTCTATGTTCATCGCTTTTGATATTTCTCTAGAAAAATAATGTATCATTTAACTAATTATTAATGAATTATTTACTTACTTTTAACTTAAACATTTCTTGATTCTGTATTCTATAAATGTACTTGTTGTGGTTTGTGATGTGTTGCATTTTTGTATGTGATCCCACTGAGTGCTTATAGTATGTACGTGTTTTGCATGTATGCATGGGTTTGTGCACAAATAATAGGGTATATAGAACACATGTTATTTGTGGTTTTTTTAGTTAAAACAGAGCCAATGAGCAGCAGTGAAATTGCTACTACAACAACAGACAGGTCTTTAGAGAATTTCTCAGGATCAGGTAAGATATAAAATATTTTCACCATATCTAAATGTCTGACTCATAAATAAAACAAATAATGGTTTTAATATTTATTTAACAAGTTGTTTTCATGGCAGAAAATTATATAGCAATAGCAGTAATAGTTAGACTTATATTCTACTCCATAATGCGTTACAGCGCTCTGAACAGTTTACAGAGTTAGCATACAGTCCCCAACAATCTGGGTCCTCATTTTACCAACCTTGAAGTATGGAAGTTTAAATCAACCTTGAGCCAGTCAGTATCAAACTCCAAGCTGTGGAGTTTGTGTGTATGTGCGTCTTTGTGTGTGTGTACGTTTGTGTATGTAATATATATTTCTTTCTTGGGATCTATAGTAATTGGCTAGGAATAGAGTTTGGAGTTGTAAATATTCCATGGGGTGATTGCTATAAAAACAGTTTTATTACTGGGAATCATTAGGAAAAGAATAAAAAATAAATCTGTCAGTTTTGTAATAGTTTTAAATCATACTGATATATTGACTAACTATTGCAACTGAAAAAGATTAACACAGAACCAGAAAAGTTGCAGAATAGAATTAGAGGCAAGGAAAATACAAGAAAGGCATGTAGGACATGTATGGTGTATAGTATGAAGAGAATTTCTCACCCTTTCTCATAATATTTTCAGAACAAATAACAGGATTTGTTTTTACATAATGAAGTATATAGCTACACTCTGGAATCTAATTCTAGACCATGTAATAAGTTTCACCAGCATGGAGAGCCCTAAACAGATATTAGACAAATTTATAGAAGATAAATATGTTAATGACCATTATTTTTAATATAGATTAGGTCTAGTATAAAAAGCTTTATGTTTCTTAACACCAGTTGCTGATGAGGTAAGGTAGTATTATTTGCTTATCTCACTTAAGAACTTCTCATAAACATTTGTTTATCCATAGCACAGTAGGAGCAGCTTAACTCTGAATCTCCCATGGCAGAAACTGTGAAGTAATCACCTGCCAGTCTAATCCAGTTCACAATACGGAAATAGTTTTCCTGAACCTTTTGATATTCATAGAATAAAGAATAAAATAGTTGAGCTCCAGATATTACAGTGAATGACTTCTTCTTGTTAATTTCATGGGTAACAACCAAGCAGCTTGTGTAGTTTGCTGCTTCTGCATATTTTCGGGGGACTAAACAATCTTATTCTGAAAATATACTGTTTACATCTTTTCAATCTGAATATTCTTACATTTTAAGATTCTGTTCAGCACTGAACTTTCTTTGTAGTACCATGTTTAACTTCTTGATATTCTGCATATCTTTCTGAATTTCAGTAGAAAATATGTAGACTGGACCCATGTTTAATTTTCAGATCTTTACATATTATTGAAAAGATCCATTGTAACCCTGGGAGACTACTGTCAAATAATGTGCAACAGAAATGGAAAATCTCGGATACTATTTGCTAGGCTTCCAATTCTAATTCATTAGTTCTTTGGTAGCAAATGTATGATTAGAGATCCTGCTTAGGAAATTAATTCATCCACTCTCTTGCTATCTCAAAAGTTAGGTAGAATATGTAGGAAACTAAAAATGTTGCTACATTCATAACTGAATTGCTATTTTTAAAAATTGTATTATTTTGTTGCTGTCCAGTCCTCTATAAGAATTTCTGCACTGTGTGCCAATCTGTCCATATAAAAAAACAGTGCTGTCAATTTATGATTCAAAGAAAATTTGAGTATGTACCATCAAGCTGGTGTCAGTAAACAGATGGACCTTCACCAGGATAATGTGTCTCCAGCCTAGCCCTTCAGGTTTTCCAGAGGTGCACTTGTTGCTGGTATAATTGATTGCATCTATCCTGCTACTAATTGCCATCTTCTTCTCTATACTTTCACAGCATTACAAACTTGATAGGAGAACTGAGTCTCATATAATGTGCCTTAAATAAAGTAATTAGATCCTAATCATTTGTGCTTTGAATGGGAACCCTGACTGATGAGTTCTATGATTCATCTGAAGATTAAACACAACAAACATGGCCCTTAGGTGAAAAATACTCCTCAGTTTTGGTTTAGAAAGTAATGGATTAAAAATCTGCAGTGATATAAAGAACATCCTGAGTTGTATAAATTTGTTGAAGTCAAGATTTTAAAGATATCATTCATTTACATTAATAAATGTTTAATTTCAGCTCTAGGTTTTTAGCATGTGAGAGAGGAAAAGGAAATCAGATTGTTAGTTAAAGATAATTAGCTTCTGATTAAAATATCACTCATATAAAATGTAGAGTATTAAGGAAGAGTGAAGTTGAAAGAAAAAAAGTAACTTCAACATTAATTAAATAGAGCCAAGTATGACAGGAGGTAAAAATTATGAATGATCCCTTAGGAGCAATTGAAAAAATGTAATTTGTAATAAAGATACAGGAAGTTGTCATGCTAGTCTGACTTTAATAAATTACCACTTGATATTAGTTTAATTAAATGTCTAAAGTTCTCTAACAAAAATAATATTTAGATTAGATATGTTCTGTATATGTGCTTACATTTCCATGTGCTTCCCCCCCCCCTTCCCTATAGCAATTGGGAGCAGTGGCTTCAGCCCAAGACAAACTCACCAGTTTTCCTCACCTCAGCTATATCCTTCCAAGTAAGATATCTTTATTTTAAATTGAAAAAGAAAAGTTATATCCAGCTTTTTATTGCTGTGATTGACTCCATCTGTTAAATTGTAGTTAAAATCAGTTTCCTATTGCAAAAGAATGAACTTCAAAATAACAAAATAAATCTTTAGTTATAGAACTATATTAATATACTTTCATATATCACTAAAATGTTTAGATAATACTTTTACCAATATATCATTGTTATTTTAATGCAAAGATTTTTTTTCTATTTTCTATCATTTTTGCATGTAACAGCAGACCATACCCACATATTCTCCCTACCCCTTCTTCGCAAACTATGGCTGCCTATGGGCAGACACAGTTTACCACTGGAATGCAACAAGCTTCTACTTATTCAGCATACCCACAGCCTGGTCAACACTATGGAATCCCATCATATGGTGAGTGAAACTGGAAAATGGCAACAGGTATCCCTATTACAGAGGGATAAGCAGAATGTTATTTAACCAGCTGACACAATTTGCAAATATTATTTTAAAGGTACAAAAAGAACTTGACTTTAAAAATATAACTGTAAAACTTTAAAAAGATTTTAGTTAGGCTTGAGTATTTTAAATCTATACATTGAATCAAGTTATGGTGCTAAATTGAAGTAATCACTAAAGCTGTGTATATTGTTTGAAAGAAGTTGTGCAAATACATGCATTTTTGAATTGTTAAAGCAGCTGCATCTTTTTCTAGGAAGTTGATGCCAGTCCTTTTTGCATATATAGAGATAGGTAGCATATGACATCCCAGTTGTGCAAACCTATCAAAAGATGCAATTGTTTTAACATTTTAACATTTTCTGAAAGGTTTATACAACCCCAATTCTATTTGTTTAGATGTGAATTTATAATTTGCTGCAGCCAGGCTGTGCTAAATGGTAAATAAAAGCCACACTCAATGCAAGAACATCAGTAATATGCAATAATAGAAGTTACAAAGTATAATATATATACTATGCCTGTACCAAGTTGCTACCTCTTTTCTAAATAGCTTACTAAAATTCAGATTTCTTTTTTAAAATGATAGAAAGATTTTGAGATTTTAAAATGTAATAAATGCAGAACAGATTTTTCCTAGTTAATCTTGAACTGCAAACTTTCTTTGCAGCTGACCACCAATAGCGGACACAGGCTTTAACAGCTTTACTTAAGCACCATTACTTATGTCAATTAATTGGGATTGATCTATGACCTAAATATATTGAAAGACTGCTGAGTCACTTAAAATACCTTGGAAAATAAATATCACCAATGGTTATAGATATATTACTTCTGGATGAAAACAAATTTTATACAGTACAATAGTCAAACAAAAAAAGGTGGGGTTATTTTAATATACATTTTTAATACAAAATAAAATCAGTGTAACCACTCTTAAATCTTAATTACATACATATCAGCCTACTTTGGAGTACCTTAGTGTGGTGCATTTTTGAATGGATTCTTTCCATTCCCCCATTATGTAATATAGTATTGCTAAATGGGGAATGTTAATAGAGATGATTGAAGTCTATAGCATTCTGATCTATAATGTTTCCACAGTATTTTTCTTTATATCATTGCTTTCACATATTTAATGGACCTTCATTTTATTTATATTAGGGTTCAATATGCATATGTAGATCCTCATAATTCTCATTACTATCATTACCAAAATTGAATAATATCATTTATATTTTTTTCTTCTAAAGATAAATAAAGAGAGTAAAATATTAAGAAACTCTTTTAAAATAAAGCCATCCCATAGACTAACAGGATCATATAAAAATTTACACCAGTGCTGTATGTAATATTTCCATAATGTCAGCTTTCCTTTTTCAATAAGCCTCAAGGAGAAGAAGCTTTCAGGCCTATTCATAACACAAAAATAGCTCATGTATAGCTTGAAACAATATTGGCATGATCCACTTGATGAGCTTCCTCTGTATGTCAAGTCATTATATTTATTTATTCCAAATAGATTGTTTTTGCAATGTAATACAATGACTTGTGGTATGGAAACCAACCACAAAGTGAAAGTCATGTACAAGGCTGCAATACATAAAAGTTCATAAAGCATTTCCAAGTCTCAAGAATACATAACTACTTTCCAGTACAGATTTTTCTTGCAGTCCCTAAAATTGGAAAAGAATAGTCAAATATTATGGCTAATAGTTTGATAATCTTAACTAAAGACATCTTAACATATCTTTAGACTGACTCTGCATAAATAGGACTTTTTTAAAAAAAATGTCTATATTTTTTAAGAAGAGACTGGACAGCCATTTGTCCAAAATAGTATAGGGTTTCCTGCCTGAGCAGGGGGTTGGACTAGATGACCTCCAAATCCCTTCCAACTTTTTTTATTATTATTATTATTATTATTATTATTATTATTATTATTATTATTGATCATCGCACAGTCAGCCAGATGTTCAGACTGGATTTGGCATTTTGTCTACTTATAGAGTCCTTACCCAGGACCTGGGATAGGCAGATGTGGATGTTTGATATCGTCGCAGGGTGGAAGCAGTTCCTAGTCAGGCTGCCTTTTGCAATTGACTAATAGCGAATTTGTCAATGCCAATGGTGTTCAAGTGGTGCTCCAGTTGTTTTGGGATTGCACCCAAGGAGCCTATGACTATTGGTACTACCCTTGCTTGCTTTTGCCACAGTCTTTCTATTTCTATTTGTAGGTCTTTGTATTTTGTTATCTTCTCCAGTTCTTTCTCGTCTATTCTGCTGTCTCCAGGCACTGCCACGTTCACTATCCAGACTTTTTTGTCTTTCTTATCGACAATTGTTAAGTCTGGGGTGTTATGTTGCAGGTGCTTGTCTGTTTGAATTCTGAAGTCCCAGAGCAGTTTAATTTAGGAAGGACTCACTGGAGAAGGGCCTAATGCTGGGAAAGATTGAGGGCAATAGAAGAATGGGACGACAGAGAATGAGATGGCTGGATGGAGTCACTGAAGCAGTAGGTGTGAACTTAAATGGACTCCAGAAGATGGTAGAGGACAGGAAGACCTGGAGGAACATTGTCCATGGGGTCACGATGGGTCGGACACGAGTTTGCAATTAACAACAACAACAACAATGACTTTCTCTAATTTATGATCCCACCATTTTTTGCTTACAGGCAAATGATATTTTTTGCAGATCTTCCAATGCACCATTGTTGCTACTTTGTCATGCCGCTGCTTGTAGTCAGTCTGTGCAATCTTCTTGCAACAGCTTACCAGGTGGTCCACTGTTTCTTCAGCTTCTTTGCATAGGCGGCCGAAGAAACAGTGGACCACCTGGTATTATTATTATTATTATTATTATTATTATTATTATTATTATTATTATTATTATAATATTGTTATGCTGGAGAAGAAAGTTTCTCTAGAGTGCATCTCTATATTTGCAAATATTTTTTTTAATTTAATAAGGGTGAACATTTTTGGGATAGGATATGAATTTTCATTTTAGTAAGTATTTAAACCCTATTTGGTTTATTTTAATCTCTTCCTGAAAAATTTGAAGAAAAGACTGTAAAGTTAAGAAAGTTGCTTTAATGAACAGCAGAGATGGTTTTGAAGCATATATTCCCAATTATTTTGAATCCTGGCACAGCCCCAACGGACATGTATTCTTAAGTCCATTCCAGGCTGAAAAAGACGCCCTTCTTTTAAATGGCTCTTTTGTCATAATTTGATGTTAGAAGCAGTGCTAACTGCAGAAAACTTAAATGTGTATACATTGATCCTTGCAATTGATAAATACAAACATTGTTTAATCTATAAGTTAATCATACTAAAGTTCATAAACTAAATCAAAATGTTGAATTTATTTCTGTTAGTAGATCATTCTTATATTTATAATATTTAAGTTTTAGGAAAATCAGTTTTAATTCAAGATAAATCCCTTATTATGAGCTTCAATTTAGAACCACATATCTTCCATCTTTCTTCTTTTTTACTACTACTTCGTGTTTATCAGTTTCTAGTCATAAAGTGTTTAATTGGAAACACTTTATATCAGTTGGAATGAGAGAGAAAAAGTTCATCAGATACTTCATGCTTTTAAACTAAAACGATGCTTTGTTATTTCTACTTCATGCTGTCCATCGTGTTTCTTTCTATATAGAGAAACATTTGAGTAAGATCTGTATTCACAAGGCCCTTGTTTTTTACTTACTCAACAATTAAACCCACCAAATTCTAAAGGGCATAAATGTAATATTTTATGTTGAAATTCTATGATCATTCTTCAGACTAGCCCCACTGAACTCAATTGAAGTTGCTTCTTAGTAGACATTCATAGAATTGCACTGTACATAATATAATCTAGGATTTGTTGATCATACTAGATTACTGTAGATTAAGTATTTAAATTACAATGATGTAATTTAAATGATGAATTGTGGTTTAATGCATGGATCATTATGTGATTTATTAATGCCCTCTAAGTGTTGAAAATGAACAAATAGCTTTGCTATCACTAACTGATTTAGGTGCATTGTGGGCAGGCATCAAGACAGAAGGTGGATTGACACAAACACAGTCACCTGGTCAGACAGGCTTTCTGAGCTACAGTGCAAGCTTTAGCGCTCCTCAACCAGGACAGGCTCCATACAGTTACCAGATGCAAGGTCTGTATAAATGATTAGAATTCATTTGGTTTTAACATATTGTTTTGATTTATTAAATTCAGGACTTCAATTCATTCAGTGAATCAGTTGATGACAGTTGTACATTTATATATTTTGCATTTTAGTCATTCCACATAAGCCCCTGACTATGCACACATTGTATAAATTATTATATGAATACAACATAGATATTTATGATGAAAATACCTTTAAAGGAATTGTGGGTTGTAAATATTCTAGCCTCCATCTGAGCAGAAACAGTGACAGTACAGGTTTTTTATTGTCTGGAAATCAAAACATAAACATTTTTATATGTGTTTTTGACTGCTACACCATCTGTACATATATAAATTGTAGGTGGGCAGGGCTTATTGCCAGTTCATTGTTCTTGTGTCTGAACGTCTGAATACAATTTGTGAATAAGCATTCACCAATTTTAGTGATTTTGGAATATCAATAGGTTCAAAAATGTTTCTTAAAGTCTACTTCTCCATCACAATAAAATACAATAATGTGGAAAAATTTTCAAGAATATAAATCTAAGTTTGAGACAGTTGTATTCATAAGTATGGGTTTGTTATTAAAAATTTAAAATAATCTCTCAAATTAACTTGTCAGTACAATCTAGTTAATGTTGGAAGACAGCTTTGGAATTTGTTTAAGTATAAAATATTACTGATTAAATGTTATTAACTTCAATAGTGTACATTTTTTCTAATAAACTGTATATTTTTATGCCAGTATTTTTTAAAAATAGTATTCTTTTGAAATAACAAATGGAAAGAAACATAATCTCTATAAATTTAAAGTGGGACAACCTCAACACTTACACAATTGTTATGAAGGACAGAAACTTTAACATATTAATGGAGGTCGAGCTTATCTTTTAGAAAACATATACAGAATCCTTAGCTGGAAAGCAAGGTTAATACTTTCTGAAATAATAGTAAATTTTAATGCTGAAGATGATGATCAAGTATTAAGGTTAAACTATATTTTTTATCTCTGATATACAATTGCTGCTTTAATCTTGTTGAGCACAATGACTTTATCATATAATTATTCTACGTTTGCTAAATAACAACATGACAGATTAAAAGTGTAAGTACTAATTTTTTATTTTATTTTTTATTTTTAAAATTTATAAACCGCCCCACTCCCGCAGGAGTCTGGGTGGCTAACAATAAAAACACTAAAACATGACAAAACAAACAGTACAATAAGAGTCATCCAGGGGTCAGATTTTATAAACCCCAGGCCTGTCGGAAAAGCCAGGTCTTAAGCAGCTTACAGAAAACCAACAGGGTGGGAGCGGTCCTAATCTCCGGGGGGAGCTGGTTCCAAGACGTGGGTGCCATCACAGAGAAAGCCCTCCTCCGCGGCCCCGCCAAATGGCACTGCTTGGCCGACGGGACCTGAAGGAGGCCCAGCCTGTGGGATCTAACCGGACGAAAGGAACTATGAGGTAGTAGGCAGTCTCGCAGATAGCCTGGCCCTGAGCCATATAGGACTTTAAAGGTAATAACCAACACCTTGAATTGGACCCGGAGACCAATAGGCAACCAGTGCAGCTCACGGAGGATAGGTGTAACGTGGGTGTATCGAGAAGCACCCACTATCACTCGCGTGGCTGCATTCTGGACCAACTGAAGTCTCTGAATACTTTTCAAGGGTAGCCCCATGTAGAGTGCGTTGCAGTAGTCCAGACGTGAGGTGACAAGGGCATGAGTGACTGTAAGGAGACCCTCCCGGTCTAGGTAAGGTCGCAACTGGTAATGAATGTGTTGTACTATTTTTGTTCTTAATATATGATTTTTTTTATCCCTTGTGAACGCTAAATACAATTTGAATAACTAGCAAACATTTTCAAAGATATATAACTTTTTTATTATTTAAAACATGTCAGCCCACACAACACTGGTGCTTTACAGATCACAAGTCTTATAATGTCTATTCAGAATGATTACAAGCTAGGAGAACAGAAAGGTATTTATGTGAGGCCTAAAGAATTATAATTATAGATCAGTTTCAGTCATTCAAAAGAGATATGTGACACACGTTTACATGAATGAAACACTTGGTAAACTGTGTTTCTTTCTCTTTGACAGTTCTAAGTGGGCATATTCACATGCATGCACATCATTTTAAGATTAAGAAAGTCTATAAACTCACATGGATAAGTATATACAAACACACTAGTTTTATTTTTATTTATTTATTCTATTTAGAGGCCATCTGAATTATTAGTGATTTGGGGCACCACACAGATAAAAGGAAAAGAAAAACAACATGGCAAAATCCTCAAAAGCAATTAGAACACAGCCTCAGAAGAAACTGGACAGTCATTTGTCTGAAATGGTATAGGATTTCCTGCCTGAGCAGGGAGTTGGACTAGATGACTAGATTTAATCCAAGGTCCTTTTCAACTTTATTGTTGTTATTGTTGTTATTATTATAATTATAATTACAAAAGAATAAAAACTATGAGGCTCTTCAGCCATCCTTTCCCCAAATCTGGGGGAAAACTGGGTTGTTAATAATTTCTGGAAAATTATTAGGGTATTGATATCCATTCATTGGCTTGCAATTTTAAATTATATATTTAGGAAGCAAGCTTAATTGAAACAAATAAGAGAATCGTAAATATTGATAAGTTGCTGCAGTCTGACATTTATAGTAAATACTAATGAATTCAGTAGGCCTCACCAGAAATTAATCCCAGTCTGATAAATCTATTAATCCTTGTCCTATGGTTACTAGATGATATCATGTTACTCTGCAACAGGAAATGATCAATTTATGTCAGTCATCAGTACAAAACAACCCAAAATTTAAATTCTAATATAACACTGACAAGTTAATATTCTTGCCTTTGAAATTGTCAGGTAGACCAGCGGCCCCCAACTTTTGGGGCTTGGCGGCATGTCTGGGGGGGGACAGGAGTTGAGCTACCCCAGCTGCTCATGCAGCCTGATTCCAAATATGCCACAGCCCAATAATGGGCCACGGCTCAGGTGTTGGGGACCCCTGAGGTAGAAAATCCAGGTTTAGTTTCATGTTTATTTTGATAATTTTTGACTTTAACCATTTTATTAAAGCTTTGTGTAAAAGCAAATAATAATATTTTAGTGCAATCAATGATGAATCCCTGTGGTTTGTGTTCTTTATCATTTTTTATGTTATTATAGTTATTACTAATTTTGTACCAAGTTCATGTAATACATAAAATGTGAATCTTAATAGTTGATCCCAACATAGGAATTTATAATTATAATAATTAACATGGAAACTAGTCGAGAGAGTCAAACATATTAGCATGTACAGGTAGTCATCAACTTTGAACTACAAATGGAACTGGAAATTTGATCAATAAGCAATACCATTAAGTGAGTCATCACATGACGAGACCAATTTTTACAACCATTTTTATTGTTGTTAAGCAAATCACTTGGTTGTTAAGCAAATGATGATGATAATTAACTGAATAGTGCATCATTAAGTAAATTCTGCTTCTCCATTTGACTTTGCTTATTGAAAGCCAACTGAGAAGGTCATAATTTGCAATCACATAGCTGCAAAATGATAAAACTGTCATAAATGCAGGCTGGTTACCAAATGCTAAAACTGCGATCATAGGAGCGCAGGCTGATGCCCCAGTCACAACTTTAAAGATTGGTTATAAGTCCCCTCTTTCGAAGCTGTTCCAAATTTGAATCATTGTTAAACAAATAATTATAAGTCGGGGGCTACTTGTAGAGGACAATGTGGGTAGTTTGGGTTATAATTAGAAATTAGGACACTAAATGTCAAAGGCATGTCAAAAGTCATGGTTATGGCTTCCATCATGATATTCAAATGAATATTTTGTCATATGACTTAGAATAACAGAGTTGGAAGGGACCTTGTAGGTCATTTAATCCAACCTCTCATGGATAATTATATTTCTCATTGTTTGTGTTAATATTCCAAAATAATAAGTTGTTTGCTTATTCTGTTTTTCTCATTAAAGACTTACTGTAAAAGGTATGTGTATGTTATTATACAGGCAGACATATATTCCACTATATGCCTAAATAATTGTTGTATTTGACTACTGTTAAAGAAACTATATCACACCACATTGAAAGCTGAATATAATACTGCTTGCATGGTGTTTTAGAAATAACTCCAAATATATATGTATTATTTAGGCATATATTATGGGGATGATATTGTGAAAACTAAGGTTGTCATAAGTACCTTAAAAACAAGAAAAATACAAACAGCAATTAATTATACATTTATAATGCTGTCTGTCCATGGTAGTTTTGCCTTAAAACACAAGTGCTGATTTTTGTTTCATATATTTTGGACCTTAATCATAGATATTTCTATAGCCCAAGGAGTGTGTAACAAACATATAACTAGTGGGATATTTTTTAATGTAAAGTTTTATTAGTTTATCATATACAATGCAATGAAAGTAAATAGCAGAAAAGATATGGAAGTGAAGTAAGGGAGAAAAAAGGCACTGACTTCCGACTTCCTTTGGTGCAGTAAAGTCGAATATCAACTTCAAACCTCAACTTTTTACTTTTACAAAATAATATAAACTACTGGGGTATTTTTTATGGAAGTAATGAGCAAAAATCTCTTTGCATATAAATGATGATGATCTCAGCATTTTCCAGGTGCCAGCAACTGAGCATGTTTCATTTCTCCAGCACTGGAGATGGATAATCCACGCAGTGGGTTGAGACTGTATTCCTGGCCAATCAGATCAGTCAGCCAAAGTTGCCACGCCCCGTCTTGGACCATGATCCTTTAGTCTTGACTGATCTGGCCATGCGAGACATCTACAACTTTTGGCTCCTGGGCAGGTATAGTTCCTTTCCATTAGGGGGGATTTTTTCTAGTAGCTGAAATTGCTTAGTTTAAAAGTTAATTAGAGATAATTTAATTCAATTTAATTGACCACTCAAAAATTTCCTTGCTAAATTGTAAAACTCAGGAAGTCAGAT